CAGCTGAGACCATCTCCTTGTCAGTAGTGTCACTTTGCACAAATTTCCAACAAAAGCCGCCTTGCTTTTGATCCTTTTTGCATGCAGTTTTGTTAGGGCTAGGTATCATTAGAATTACCTTGTTTCATTCTACAAAGTTCGAAATGGATTTTTTAAAGGATAGCTTTCGTTACAAAATTATAAAATTATAAGTTCTGGCCCATACATTTTGCGTCTATAGGAATGCCGCGTTGCCTACGAGCTGCCTCTAATTCTGGGGCGGCCTCTGGGAAAGCTAGCTGATCAAGAGAGAATTCATAGAAGATCAAGTTAACCGACAAGGGGAATCGATTACTAGGCCGACCGAGCAACAATGGATTTTGTCTCGGCGCGTGAGAGTTGTCTGCAACAAGACGCTGACCTGACGACAGTCCATTCTTATTGGGAAAATGAGGTGATTATCGGTGGGTTTAAGACACGATGAAAAGCAGGCGGTGTTTGTTCAGAAGCTGCAGCCGCTGCGGGTGCGGATAAAGCATGGATGGGGAGCAGGAAGGTAACAACCATACCGGAAGAAAATTTTCTGCGATAGGAAAATCACAAATGGGGCTGGGTCAACGGCGAGCCCTATGACTTTGAAGTGAACCATGGACTTGACCCAGTACGATTCAATGGAGCATGTCTAATTGTGAGTCGCTGCTTGGACGTTTTTTCGAAACTGAAATACAGGGTGTCCCAAAATGACCCCTTTCGTATTTCGCCGTATTACATCCGATCGGTTCCAAAAGTGATATAAACTGTATCAGACCCCAAATAACCACAATGCTGTCTTACAGCCCGAGGCTATAGCGGTTCTCGAGTTATACCAAAAATAAAGTTTGTTTCACGTTTTTTCGGGGGCCCGGTGAGAATAGACCCTGAAAATAGTAAGTGGAAATGATGCGGCAAACCTTCTTTACTCCTAGAAATTTTCTCCTGAGAAGAATTATACAAATATTCGATTCCATTTCAGCATTTTGTTAACGCAAAATGACCCCCGATCTTAGGCGGAGTTAGGGATTCACAGCCGGACGTCGCCACAAGTTTATGCAAATTCAAAAAATACAGCCGAAAAAAACGTAATGAATTCCGAGAAAACAGTATTTGCTTTGCAACTCGAGAACCACCGTAGCGATCGGGCTATAATTCAGTATTGTGGTTATTTGTGGCGTGGTACACTTCTGGTACCATTTTTGGACCGATCGGATGTAAAACGGCGGAATGCCGATGGCGTTTTTTGACACCCTGTAAACGTTATCGATGTGCTCTAGGTTTTCGGCGCCGTTGACGTCAACTCCACCGCCTGGCTGCATCGCAACGACGACGTGGACTGTGGGGAGAACTATACTCCCGTCTGCAAAAAGGCCTGTCCCATATTTTATAGCGTAATTTTGTTTAGGCACCAATCAGCTGAAGCACCTCCAAGAGCATTCATGACTCAAATAAAGTATTTTCCACGAACGCTGTATAGCTACTTGACATTTGGACAAAGAAAGAAATAGAGGAAATGCGGTATCTGTTGCCACTCAAAAACTGTCCAAAAACGTTATGAATATTTCTTTAGCCTCAGGATCCGATCGTCTATAGTTTGACTGGCCTACAAAAAAAGCTTTTTCCCGTCGGATGCCCATCCTGGCGGCGAAAATATTCGATACAAATTCTTGCAAAAATATTCGCATATGTATGACAGACTCGCGCAACTCTGTGTTTCTGAGAGCTTATTTCACTCGGCAATGATTGTCTCGATCTTGGCCACAACGGTCTTATTAGGTAGGCCCGCTTTTAACAGATTTTGGTTTTCTACTTTAACTTTCAGTTTTTAGTAGGGTTAGAAAGTTGTCAAAAGCTGTCAATAGCTTTCAAGCTAAACTCTCAACTAATCATCGGAGTTTGCAAGAGCTGAAATCATAAATTTAAGGCGTTCTCGAGGCCGTTTGCCCACTTTCGGGTCGGCCAAGGGGTGATGACTGCATCTTCGACCTCGACGTCAAGTTGGGATTCATGGAGGCGCGGAAGATTTGCCGCAGGTTTACCTTACTTTCTTGTATCCCACTATTAAATACAGAAGCTAGAAAGGAAAGACAAACTCATCGTCAATTTCTGATATTTCAGCCTGAATTCCACCTTGGACATCTCGCACAAGCATCGCGACGTGGCTCTGCGAGCGGTATGACTTCCGGTTCTTCCGTCTCCATCTAACCCGTAATTTAGGGATCACGTAAAACTTCGTGACGTCCACCCGATTACGCATTCAAACCTCTACCGGATCGATATTGTCGATGAGAACAAGCGCGACAAGAGCAAAGGTGTGTAATTATCATAAAAAACTACCTATGTGTTTTTTATTGCTTTTATTGCTATTTTCGATAGCTTATTTTATATTTGCTCTCACTTCTGTTGTGAAAACTTAGACTTTTCCAGTATACAAAAAAGTCCAAATGCACGGGCGTGATTGGTGGATTTTGCACAACGCCCAGCTGCCGGTGGTCTGTATCGGAAAGGGGCTCAATGAAGGCGAGAAGCCTTTTCAAGCTCAAGCCTGTGGATCCGAGGGCCATACACTCAGTAAAATAACTATAAAGGCAGTGGTTTTTGTCGAATATCTCGGCGGTTTTTGCACGTATTGAGATGCAACTTTTAGGATAAACTTCTCAAGAGTGACTTGATATCTAGTACAAATCTGAAACAAATCCGTTCGTGGAAAGTCCGATTTTTGGCAAATGACGTTTTCGAAACTGTAAAAAAACTATAAAGGCAGTCTAAAGAAATTCATTCAAAAATTCCCAAATTAGTTTCTTTGGAAATTTGCAATACAATCATGGTTGTTAGCACGTTTTCTATTAAAAATTGTTTTCTAGCATTGATGGTAGCCCATTTTTTGTCATTCGACCCGGCATGGCCAGGCCAGGTGATGCCTCCCATCTTGTAACGTTCTCGAAAAAAATTTCCTTCGTCGGAGCACTATTCTGGCCACGTCCTTAGCTTGGTTTGGGGCTCTAGCATTGTGGACCAAATGGAAACTGCACCGAAAACAGCCCAGGCGCTCGCGTGGACAAATTCTAATGATATTTGTGACGGCGGAATTCGAACTCGAGGCTTAATTTCGCAACGGCTTCAAGAAGCGGACTATATTTTTGTAGTTAAGGAAGGTATGTGATGCTTTGTGCCTGCCTGCTACTATATTTGCTATCTAAAACACGTGGCGGTGGCGAACATTGACGTCCAAGGCGCCTGGAACTCAAATTATTGGGGGTCGCATCAGCGACAGCTCGGATTAAGCTTAAGTTTTGTCGCCATGCTTTCTGGCCTGAACAAAAGCCATATCAAGATTCAGAAACACGTAAACCACGATTGAATCGTAACTAGGACCATAGGTTCGGCCGATCGGTGGATCCGTGGAACGCCTTCGAAATCCCAGATGCAAGCTGGAAAGTCTTGGGTATCTAATTTTTTTTCAAAGAGGAGATGTGAACTTAGAAACATTTTGTTCAGCTGCACACGTGCACGAATAAGCCGTGGCCAAGCCGCCTAAGTCACCCTGCACGAAAATTAGGAATTCAGCTGTGATTTAAGCAACTTCTAGTCGTTTCAGCACCTGTGAGAAATTACATTATAGAATTGCCTCCGCTTTCTTGACGTTTCAAATTTAGTTTCCAATTGGTCCACAATACTGGAGCCCCAAACCAAGCTAAGGACGTGGCCAGAATAGTGCTCCGACGAAGGAAATTTTTTTCGAGAACGTTACAAGATGGGAGGCATCACCTGGCCTGGCCATGCCGGGTCGAATGACAAAAAATGGGCTACCATCAATGCTAGAAAACAATTTTTAATAGAAAACGTGCTAACAACCATGATTGTATTGAAAATTTCCAAAGAAACTAATTTGGGAATTTTTGAATGAATTTCTTTAGACTGCCTTTATAGTTTTTTTACAGTTTCGAAAACGTCATTTGCCAAAAATCGGACTTTCCACGAACGGATTTGTTTCAGATTTGTACTAGATATCAAGTCACTCTTGAGAAGTTTATCCTAAAAGTTGCATCTCAATACGTGCAAAAACCGCCGAGATATTCGACAAAAACCACTGCCTTTATAGTTATTTTACTGAGTGTATTTCTGACCCAGAGGTAACCAACGCCAATTGAATCGCAGAAACAGCAACTTTGAGCCCTACAAAAAGCGGAAACTGAAGGCTGATGAGGGTTGTCCGGCTTGTGAGGAGCGCTGAAAGGTTAATTGCTATAAGATCTGCCAATTACTTTGTGGTTATAAAAAAAATGCCAGGCTTTGGTTATGATTTTTAACGGTCTAAAAACGTACAGTTCAGAACAATTTTTGGCCTACTTAAAAATTACCCCTATTTTTTAGGATTGCTGGTACGGCTGTCTCCAACCAAATGATCAATATCAATTGTTAAAATAAATATGTGGGGATTGAAAAGTGCAGGTAACTGCACCTAAATCACCAGATGTGAATTGCCGAGGCGAAAGTCCCTCTTCTCCGGCTCGAGGCTATTTTACGGATTTTTCGTGGATTTTGACCAGAAGATCTGAGCGCCACTTCAAAGGCGGCGCTCCTTGAACGCTACAGAGATTATATTATCATATTTCAAAGCTTTAAAAGAAACATGTCGGTGCTGGAACGCTTTGAAAGTGCCGAAATTTCAGTAACAAATGGCCTTCCGTGATGTTGCGCTGTTCCTAGCATTGCTAGGTATGATTACGCTTACAAACACAAAATTTTTTTTATGTACCGCTGATTCCGTGTGCCCGAAAAACAGTGAATTCAACGGGCAGAGGTGCCGGTTCGATTTGGGAGTGGAAGTGGGATACGCGGAGGCTTGGACAGTATGTCTGGGGTAACTGTTTTTGCGCTTTTTCGCTGGGACAAAGTTCGTGAATTAACGAAATACCTTGGAATGAATAATGTGTAATAAACCCAGAAACCCTTCTAAATTTTTTAAACCAAACCTTTTCAGGCTCGACGCCAAACTGCAACGCTCCGAGAGCCACCACAACCTTGCGTATCCGGTGGTAAGTTTTCTTCTTAAAGAAGAGCGCACAAGCGCAGATCAAGCCCCTTATTAAAAATCAGCAAAAAGCCAACACGCTATGCAAAAACAGCGACTCGTAAACTTTAAAATCCGAAAGAACCCCTGCGAAAAAATAGGTTTAGGAAGAAGTCTCTGAACCCCGTGTGGAACGCATCGGAAATTCGAACCGGGCTTATCTGTACGGTGATGACGGGCGTGAGAATGACATCGGTAAACATTGTACGGATTAGCCAGTTTTTTTGCAGTGTACCACAAGTCCAGGATTGCCGGAAGATGGTTCTGGGTCCAGGAAAAAGCCAAGGTTCCCCTCGTCTGTATCGGAAGAAACTCTCCGCGCAACAACAACACTTGCAATACCGTGGGCAGCATCTCGGATCCGGAGGTTTTCAGTTCAGTTTTTTGTAAAACTTTGTTCATTTTCAGCCGTACCGTCGTCTGAAGGCTACACATATATGCCCGCCGTGTCCGGCAAGTTAATTTTTGAAGCGCAATCCATAACAATAAGAAATAATATCCCGCTTTTCAGACATCGAGCGAAAGCGAGGAAAAATAAAGCTGACAATCTAATAAACTTTAAACGCTACTTTGCTTAAACGCCGAAAACCACTGAAATTGCGCGACACCAGGTTTGATAAGGGCGTTACTTAATTACTTACTTGACAAAACTTAAAACCATGGAATACCAAGAGTCGCACACTGAAAAAGAAGGAAAATAAGAATAAAGTTCCAAAAATGACAAATCGAAGCTTCTGCGTTTTAATAAATCGACTTCTACGTCCTAAGAGACCAATTTCCACGTTCGAATAAATTGACTTCTACGTTCTAAGAAACCGATTCGAATTAAGAAACTTCCACGTGCGACTCCTACGTTTTTGAGTAATTTCAGTAAGATTTTCTTTTTCCAAAAACTATTCCGAGGCTTTGTATTACCATCTGATTACTGTTTGGGTTTTTGTGGTTTTGGGTTTTTCCGCCTTAAATCTACTATAATAATTTTGCTGTGGTGTCTGTCTGTCTGTCCGTCCGTCATGTCCCAGATTCAACTGGAAGGGGAAAGGAGCTAGAGCTTAGGTCTCTTCGGATTCGGATAGAGCGTGGTCAGAAACCCCAAAACCGATAAAAAAATTATGAAAAAGTTTTAATTTAAATTATTAAAATTAACTTTGAAAGTGGCGCCTTAATAAAACGAGTGGGGGCCCCTCTCCAGGGAGGCCACGCCCCCTTTCCCCACCCCGCTTCACCAGGCCCTTTCCCGCGCCCAAATAGCTTTTGAAGTTACTTTAATACTTTTTAATACTTTTTAATTATGTTAATTTATTATTTAAATCATTTAAAGTATCGGGATGGAATCTAAGTAGTTTTTGAAGGGGATTTCAGCCATGGGGGGTATCTGAAGCCATCAGTAAGGTATTTAGGTAGTTTTTGAAGAGGATTTCAGCCATGGGGGGTATCTGAAGCCATCAGGAAGGTATTTAGGTAGTTTTTGAAGGGGATTTCAGCCATGGGGGTATTGATGGAGGTAGGAAAAGATGTGGTGGAGTGGGACATGTGGGGTAGCCCGAAGGCCAGATGGTTGCAGTCGCGAAGCGACTGTAACCATCTGGTCACTCATAACTTTCGAGAATTGGCCATTCCGCAAAAAACGGTAACGATATTCCGAACCTGCGCATAATTCTGCACAAGACAAGCTCGGTCCCATCCAAAAGTCCGGACGACGCTCGAAAACGTCTCGTTGTAGGCCTGTTATTTTCACCCTTACCCTTCCCTCTGCAAGACAATTTGCAGAGATCGAATTATACAGTCTGGCCTTCAGGTTTTTTCCATACCGAATCGCATTTTATTGAGAGCACAGATCCAAAGAAAATTCCCTTATTGCGTTTTTATGTTAATACGCCCTCGCAAGCTATATAAGTAGCAAAAAATAGGTGAAAAAGGCATTTCCATCATCCCTAGATTTAAAGATGACTTTGAGAGCTGTATTCCTGATGATTCTTGGTTACGGTAGTTTTTGGAAAATTTCTTACGAGCACTTTTTACGGTCTGTCCGCCGCCTTTTGCCCGGAAATCTGCAAAGGAAACCCGGCCGAGTGCAAGGTCGACTTCAAACTTCAGATGCGTCCCACGACCGCCCAAAAATTCTGTCGGCGGTAGGGATAACTTTCTAAAAGGGGCTCTTTCGCATTATCAAGGGTAACCGATTCTTTGTATGTCTAAAAATGCTTAGCAATTGGATAGAAGGCGTTTTAATTGTCTTTTTAGTAATATGTAGCCATATTTGAATTAGAAAACCTATCTAATACCTTCAAAAAGGTCGAAATTTTGGTTAAGAGTCGGCCATTTCTATTTTCTTTCCAGCAAGTTGAAAAATCTATATTTATGATATTTTTTAAAAAACATTTGTAAAGCTTTCACCTTTAGGAATGGTAAAAAACGGCTTAGAAACACTTCCAATATTTATATTTGAAGGATTAAGAAAAAAGTTGGTCCACCCGATAAAGTGAAGGAACCCACAAGAGGCTATATGGTTTTTTAGCCTCCAAATGGATCTTCTGGTTACGGACGCGGACCTTAGATACGTTTTCCCAATGGTATTTCGGCTTTTAAAATGTGATAGAAACCCACAATCTTAGAGCCGTAAGCCGACGGGCTACAAAGAGGTCCGCGTCACCCGGGGTCAGGTCGAAACCATCTCGGTCACCAAGGATGATGAAGTCAGGACCGAGGAATTTGGTTAGTTCCAGATATATCGAAACTTAAAGTAAACTTTCAGATATTCTGCCGCTGCCCGAAAAGATCGATGGCGAGACGTGGTACTATAAGACGAGCATGGATGATATGAGGCTGAACTGCGTGCACCGAAACGCTGTGGTACAAAATTTTGAAGGATAGGGGCTGTCGCGGACACCTTCTTGGAAAGCGCTGTCGGCATTTTCGGAAAGTATCGAATCAGAAATACCCAAATAATGCAGATTTTCACAACACTATTTTCATCGTGCCGGGTTTTTCATAAAACCAATTCTTACAATGAATGAGGTTAACCCACATAATTTTTAGAAGACCACCGTGAAGACACCGAACACCACGCCGGAATTTGTGGAAGATCTCACGAGGGGCAAATGAATGACGACTGTTTGTTTCAATGGGGTTAAATAAATATTGAAATGGGATGGAAATATGGTAACACCGATAAAATAATTAAAGAGCGGTTCGTATAGAAGAGAAGAGTGGTAGAAGGCGGATTTCGTATTTTCACACAACCGCGCTCTTCATAAAAAGAAATCCTCAAATCGAAAATAAAAACCTTTAAAATGTCTGTCGCCTGAAAGGTCGCCGAATCACTAAAAAAAGAAATAGCGTAAGAGTCTTATTGTAGTGTCTCTCCTGGCAAAGCCCGATTCCCATTTTGCAGCGTTCACTTGCACGGTAAACATCCGGCGCCTTTTTAAGATTCCGATCGCCCTGCAAACAAAGTATAAATTATACTGTCTGCGCTTAGAATTATATTCAAACCAGCGCCCAAAACCCGCTTCGCGGGCCTTGGGCGCTGGAATGCGGCCTTTGCATGAGAAATTTGACTTTCCGATAGCTTGGGTCCTTCGGACCCCTCCCTTCCTCCGACCACAGCCGCGCGTGCAACTTTCAAGAATGAGGAAATTTGTATTTTTTTGGAATTATGCAAAGTAGCCTTCCCTGGCACCGGACACACACACACACAAAGATACGCGACCAAATTATATAAGGTAGGACTTAAATTTATGTGCACTGCAATATTGTTTAAATCGGAAATAGCATCTTTTTGGTCCAGGCCACCCGGCTGATTGCTTTTTATGGTAAGGGCTGGCTGGAAACCTGGATAAAAGCGAGAAGGATAGCAAACTTACCTGAAAAATGACCCTTCACTCTCTATTTTTGCTGTTTTTGGCTTACGGTAAGCAGAGTTGCTAGCACGGGGAAGTTGAGCCTATGAAAATTCCCAATATATTTTTTAAAGGGGCTTCGAAACCTGATCCACAGCCCCTGCGTTGATTCCTGGCAAATAGCCAGATGCGCCTCCCGACGCGACCGCGTCGCATGATCTTTTGCCCCTGTTTGCACGTGAAAACGCCCCAATATCAAAATTCTGGTGTTATTTCTGGAATCCTCATCGAATTTTGATCATTCTAGACCTTTTAATTAAGAAAATTGGCCTGAGAATCACCGAGATCAAGGGTTTGGGTGCCTTACGAGGTATTGCGACATGTAATCGCCGCGCACTCAAAAAGTCGTTTTCAGCCCGACAACTTTTCGGTTTACTCAACTATTTTAAGTTTTTTCGCAACGAAATTACTTTTCTGTTACTTATCGGCAGTAACCATTTCGTTTTGACCAGTAAGTTCAATCCCCGCACGCACGAATTTTGACTTTCGGCCCCTTAAAGAGACATAAACGTTGGGAAGGAAAAGTTAAAAAGCGTATATCTTTCATTTTTTAGGCTTATCGTCGGCCTTTTGCCCCAAGGTTTGCGACGACAAGACCAAGGACTGCAAGCTGGACTTTCAACTGCACATGCGCCCAAATACCGTGCAAAAGATTTGCGGCCTGTGAGTAAAAATTCGCTTACCAAATTTTTGTCAGCATTGGTATGCAAATGTTCGTCCCGGAGGCGATGAAGGACTACGTCTTCCCAATGGTACCAATTTTTAACGGCGGTCAGAGCACTAAAACATAATTCCTAGAGCCAAAAGCCGAAGGACTACCGTGTGCTTAACGATCAGCCCGACGGAGGGAAATTCGTTCACATCACCGGCCGCGACGGAAAACAACATTCATTCGGTTGGTATCGTTGTATGGACAAGCGCAATTTCTATTTTGTATTATATATTCTATAATCTTTAATTTCTAGTTTGTATTTTTAGTTATATGGCCGATGCACGACAAGATCAATGGCGAGACATGGTACAGCCAATCGAACCTGCTAGCCTTCGACGCAGTTTGCGTTCCCCGGGGAAGCAACGTGACGGTAAGTTTGGATTCGTATCAGAGATGCGATATGATTAGAAAGCATTTAAGGTCTTTTGTTTTGCATTGATTTTATCGCCTATCGAGCGCCCTAATTTCCCTTAAAGGTACACTAAAATCTCGTTCAAAAAAATCCGGTCGCGGTAGGAAATTTGGGCTCTCTGCCGCAGCCGACCCAGCCCCTTCTTATCGCCTCACCCCTACCCCCTTCCCGTCTCTCCCCTTGGCCTAGTGGTCCAAGGCGCTGTCCCAAGCTGGCAGTCAGGGTTCGGTTTTGCTCCGCGGCGAGCGCTTACCGTAACCCTGTTTGCTATCCCGCGGACGGTTACCGGCCGGAAACCAAACCAACGAGACTTTAGTGTACCTTTAATCCGATATGCAAAAGTTATTCCGATAGTATCGTATCTCGGTGGGTCGGATCCCAATTCAGATGCGATTATCTATATTGCATCTAGGATTTTCCAATTCCGATGACTTATTCAGATGCGAGATATCTGAATGCATATTGTATCTGAATAAAAACATCTCTAATTTGTATACCCGAAAGCGAAAGTAGCACCTATACTTACGTAACTTGCTGATATATGATGAAAATGTGGCCTATTAGTATTAGCATTCCAGGGTACATACCCCGTCCCACCAACCGCAAATCATCGGGAATTCGTTGACGAGCCGGCCACGAAGAAGCCGTCCGGATGAGCTTAAACTTAATTGTTGTTGGATAAAGATCATTGATGAATTGTTTACCCATTTACTGACATACGTTTGACGCCTGACGAGATTCCGATATCTTAGTGAAACGAAACTTAGAGTCTTCATATTTCGTAGCCCCCCACTGCTGACGTCGTGTTTCTAAGGCGAGGTGTTGAAAGAACTTTCCCCTGCCCTGCGTCGGCTATTCCATAGTCATTTTTGCAAAACGGTTCGTGTGGAGCAAGTTCAAAAGCCGCCGATGCCGAGTAAATTTCCATATCTGGAGGGTCTTCCACGCCTTGTGGTTTTGACTCTTCTAAATGGCCGCAAGATATTTGCTGCTTTTTGCCGTTTTGGCTGTAATTCATAATTGCTGGGCGGCGGAATGTGAAGCTGGATGGGTGAATTTTGAAGGGACGTCGAGGTGCTATAAGGTAAGAGATAGAGACAGCGAGAGAGAGAGAGAGAGAGAGAGAGAGATAGAGAGGGAGAGATAGAGGGAGATAGAGAGGGAGGGCGAGAGAGACAGCGAGAGAGAGAGAGAGTGGGAGAGAAACAGCCCAATTTCGTTCAGATTCTCCGCGCCCAAAAACAAATTGGTGGCGAAAAAGACTGTACAGCGCTTGGCGGCCATTTAGCGTCAATTAACACCGCAGCTGAAAACAAATTTATCACCGGTAATATAGGACAACTAAATTTTATATACTGATTTGCGCTTTTAGGTCTCGTGAATAAAACGGGGGACCCCAAGGCGAAGCTCTACCTCGGTGGGATCAAGGTATCTACCAAATTAAGGTATTAGGAGAGTTCCTAGGTAACTCGAAATCATACAGGCGCCTATGAATGGCTAAACGGGAATAAGTTTAATTATACAAACTGGAAGAAGACGACGAGTCCGGCGAACTCGAACGCGTTCTACTGCATGCAGATTTTGGTGAGTTATTGCAGATTCGTTTGGCTCAAAAATCACCTTGAATGTCAATAAGTCTTTTTAAAGGCTGAAGCAGCTTAGTAAGCAACCGTAAAAATGGCAAAATAGATTTAATAATGCCCCCTTTAATAACGTAACTGACCCCCTTTTTTAGGCAACCGGCTTTTGGCGGCCGTGGTGGTGTGAGAGTGAGGTGGAAAGTGTATGCGAAAGGGAGATGGACTATAGGGTAAGTTTCAAGCACTTTAAATACAGAAAATTTTACTACAATATATTACGCATCATCAACAACATATCTCTCTTGCTCTATCCTTAAATGTATACTATTAAGGTACCCAAGTTCCATACCCCGGCCTGCGACGATGGCTGGCAACCGTGGGATCGAAGCGGGGCTTGTTACAAAGTAAGTAATATGTAGTAGTTTGAGCTTTTGCGCTTTTTATGCATTATTTACGGTCATTATTGTTCGAAACGCCTTCCATTTTAAGCTATATCGTTTGTTAAGCTAACCAAAAAACTCAACAACTCGGCAGCCGAAAAAGAGTGCCAGAAGATGGGGGGCAATCTAACGTCCATTCTGTCGCCAATGGAAAATGAATACATTATTGGTAAGCGAAACGCCAGGAAAAGATATTTAAATCTTCTTAGAATTCGTTCAGCTGTTCCCGTGGGCCAACGACACCTTTTGGATTGGCGGGAAAAGGGTAAAGGGCTTGTAGTGACAAAAAATGATGTAAAACCCACAGGATAAGTCTGGAAATTACCAATGGCCAGGCGGGGATGCGATCAAGCTTTTCTTCTGGTCGCACGACGATTTCGAGGATAAGCAGAATAAAGGGAATTGCATAAAGGTATACAGTTTTCTTAAAAATTCCAAGGGGAAGGTAAGCTAGCAGCGATTCCTTGAGAAATCGCGTTATATAACGGCGTGGCCACCTTCCCGTGCTTCGCCGCTATCACTCCGTTTCCAGTTTTATATAGTTTAACTTTGACCGGTATTTGAATTCAGGTAGCCTCCAAAACCTACGATTGGACGATTCATCGGTGGGTAGACGCAGATTGTGATGAAGTGATGACGGCTGTTTGTAAAAAGGTATCTGAAACTAGCCAGAAAACCTAGATAAGTCTAGGGTCCGCTGCCTTATGGCATGGCATCCCCATTACCTCAAACGATCCCAACCGGGGATCCGGATGCGTCGGTAGGACCGAACGGCAATAATCCGAATGGCGATCCCGTTCAGCCGCAAGATCCGGAAGAACCGCCTAGTCCGGAAGGAGAGGTAATCAAGAGTGAGAGAGCGACAGAGAGATAGAGGGAGAGAGAGAGAGCGATGATATCAACTAGTTTAGTACAACGGCTGCGAGAAGGGCTGGCAACCCGCCGACGGATCCAAGAGTTGCTTCATGGTAACGCTGCTGTTCGGTAGTTTCAGTCAACCGGGTTTTAGTTCCTTCACAACCTAACCTTCGACGCTGCCGAAAAATCTTGCAAATCCCTTGGCGCGAGCATGGCTTCTGTAGCGAATGAGCGCGACAATAGGGAGTTGTTAGGTAATGGCGATCTCCAAATATCGAGCGTTCAAATTCTAGTTTGGATGGAAAAAGCTTTGCTGACTTTGATACATCCCTCCAACATTTAGAAGCCGGTATCAGGAATGGTTTCGGGAGAAATTCGGCATACTTTCTTGGGGTTAAGAAGGTATGGAACCTGTTTAAATCTAGAGGACCGAATAGGTGAACGGAGTCTTCAAATGGCTCGACGGGACCCCCTTCAAATATACGAACTGGGACCGGAAAGAGCCGACGAATAAGGATGAGGATTGTATCGAGGTACTATGCTGCAGCAATTAGGATAGCCTTTCCTTGAACGATTTCAGATGTACACTCGTTACTGGAAATTTGACCCCAGCCGCTCTATGGACGAAAATATCGCAAAAACGTCGGGTTCTGGAAAATGGAATGATTTGCCTTGTACCTGGAGCCCAACTATTGTTCCCTGCAAAAAGAAAATGGTATAGAAAAGGAGGTTTACCGTATATCTGGAATCCAGATACCACGACCACCACCTTCAGGGCCAGCGCAGACGACACAGGTAGCGAGCGGTTTTCGGTCAACATCCAGAAAGCGGAAACACTGAAATCTGAACACACGATGAAATTTAGACTACAACAACCACAACAACAACAACTACTACTACTACCACTACTACAAAAGCAACAACAACACCAAAACCGACAGCGCCAACTACGGTTTGTTAACTTACCTGAATCTACGGTATTATGCGCTTTTAGACAACTACCACTACAGTTCCGACAACCACAACAACTGTTATTTATAAGGTTTCATGGCCGAACTCGTTGTTTAAACTAGGGTTGTTTCTCGGAACAGGCCGAGATTCGGAACATTCGGAACAGCAACCGTTCCGACTGTTCCGAATGTCGGAACGTTCCGAGATTCGCGTGTTCCGGCTGTTCCGAGATTCGGAACATTCCGAGATTCAAATGTTGCGGTTGTTCCGAGATTCATAGTGTTCCGACTGTTCCGAGATTCGGAACGTTCCGAGATTTGGCTGTTCCGACTGTTCCGAGATTCGGAACAGTCCGAGATTGGGCTGTTCCGAGATTCAAATTTTTTCGCATGTAAATTTCCAAACACGACTGAATTTCGATTCGATTCGATCCCCAATTCGTTCTCATTTCCTTAATTTCCAGATTCGACATCTAACCATCGACGGAATTAAGTGGCCAGTTGCGCCCACACTGCCGTTTCACGGCAAAATCGAAACAGTTACATGCAATCTACACAATTTACACGAAATCTAAATTTACATGCGAAAAAATTTGAATCTCGGAACAGCTCAATCTCGGACTGTTCCAAATCTCGGAACAGTCGGAACAGCCAAATCTCGGAACGTTCCGAATCTCGGAACAGTCGGAACAATATGAATCTCGGAACAACCGCATCATTTGAATCTCGGAATGTTCCGAATCTCGGAACAGCCGGAACACGCGAATCTCGGAACGTTCCGACCAGTCTTTGTTCCGAATGTTCCGAATCTCGGTCTGTTCCGAGAAACAACCCTAGTTTAAACGTTTTCTTTTTGTCTCTATGATTTTTGGAGCTCCTTGAATGCATTTTATGAATTTATCCAAATAATTTGACGTTTTAGGATGGCTGCCCACTCGACTGGCCACGGGGAACTGGCACAGAAAAGTGCTATAAGGTATCGTTACTTATGATTAACTACGACTATATCTTTTTTCAGATCGTAATCGGCGGTAACCTGCAACAAACGATCGATAGGTGCAAGTCAATTGGTGGTGAAATGGTCTCAATTTATAATGCCGCGGAAAATCAGGTCTTACACGGTGGGTTTTCTTGATTTTTCCGGTTTTTATGGTTTTGCGCCAAGTTATATTTTTAGATCATTGGCGTGCTAAATCGTCGGTTGGGGCCCAGTTTATGCTGGGAGCCAAACGGGTACGTGATTTCAGCTCCGAAAATTGTCAGATTTTAGTCAGGCGCCGGGTTGTATGACTTCAAATGGTTCGACGGCAAAGATCTGTTCTACAACAATTTCTTCCCTAATAGAATGAGTCCCGCAGGCAGCAAGCAGGATTGTGTGCTGGTGAGTGAGGGAAACTCAATCGACTTGATACCGACGCGCAAGTAAAAAAAATCTCTAAAACATAGGGAGCTCACAAGGTGGAAATGGGCAGCTATTAAACTCCAGAAAGCGAAATTTGCCCCCCAGCGGTGAAGTGCAGAAGCGTGAGAGTGCACACGGTACTAGCGCGCCGAGAAGCCATGCGTAGCCGCTGACCTGACTGAGCTACACTCCAGCGAACGTTCAGTTCTATACCTTGTGTGATGGAGATCAGCGAAGGGTGCACCAGCTATCAATGCGCAGAGAAGCCCTTCGTACCCATAACTGTGCGACGCTACACTCCACTGAACGTTAGGATACCGCGCGTTATCTACCGGAGCTGGATAACTAAAGCGAGGCTTAAAGGGCTGCCGATGGCTTGTGTCGCTCCCCCCATGACAAATTGGCAAGTAGCGCCCAGAGGAGAGGCGCAGAGACATTTTCTTTCCAGCGCGTAACCGATAGACTATGCCGTCCACAGCGGCCCGGCTCCTAATCAAACTTCCGGTACCTTGGAAAGGAGGGAAGACCGCAACGCGTGCGATAGACGCATCGCGCAATTGCGAAAGCAGGCCTGCGCAGCTAAAAACCGGTTGCTATTCCGCGCACCCGCAGGCAACGCGCGAAAAACACGTACAGTACGCCCTTTCCCTTGAACCATCTGGACCGAACCCCATGGGCGGTTGTGTGTCGGCATCCCTTTAATGGAAGCTAATGATTTTTAGTACTGGGTGGTAGCCGCGGGCAAACGGTTTCCGATTGATGCCCACTGGAACGACGTCGACTGCAACCAGTCATTCCCCCCAAGGCATTTTGCCAGAGACCTGCAGTCAGCCAAGGATAAGGTTTTCAATAGCAGGCATCGCTATCTGTTTCCCAGAATTTGAATGTATCGAATAAAGTTTACCGGTGTTAATGACGTCGCACCACAAAACCTAATTCCTTGCAGGCAGGATAACGCCTGAAGCCTACCATAATAAATATTACGTATTTTTTAATCTGTTTTATAATACGCTGGGCTGATCTCTGACACATTTTCCGATTCTCAAAATTCATAAGCGCTACATGTCCTGGTTGTTCGACCTTCATTCGTCACAACGCCATGGTGACCCGAATGGCGCTGTCTATGAAGGCCAATGGTCTCTGCCGCGTCGCAAAAAATTACAAAAACGATGGATTTGGTCATATTTTCTGTATTCTGTGCGGCTGTCTGCGATGCTCAAAACTTTTTCATTCAATGGCCCGCACGTGCTGTGGTTCAACCTGCAGATTCTTGCTTCGAACAATGTGCAAATGCGGGGGACAATTGTAAGGGTATCGGTAAGTTTTTCGACTGAAAAATCGCAGGTTGGCGATCAATTCAGCGTATCAATTCTAGCCTAAGTTTTTAGAGCGCGGGTAGAGAAGACCAGCTAAAAAACCAAACACGTTTTAGATAGTAGCTGTCAAATCTATGGCCCAAGTGATGGCGATCCTGAATACTTATTTATTAACAGTACTTCCGGAAAAACGGCAGTCAATCAGTCAAAATTGACTCTTTCAGCCTGCGAATATAGCAGTCCTGCACAGGTATCGTTTTATTGTTTTTGGCCAGAACGAGGGTTTCCTCGTTTTAGAGCCCCTGTGATTTTGGGTGGAGCTGGACGAATACGATGAACAAGTGTTATAAGGTACTTGGTACATGCCCATATTACAGGGTGTCTCAGGATTATCCGGACAAAACGAAAAAGTCATTTTTTAGCCTTTAATGCTGTTTGCTTCGTACCTAATGTTTTTCATATGAGTTTTTTCAGGCGTTTTCAATGTTCTGAGCGAAAATTTTTTTTCGAAGACTTTATAATAGCTTCAGAATCAAGCGTAGAACGCGGTAAGATTTTTCACCTCTTAAATACCAAGAAACTTGGGGCAAAGGTTCAAAAAGTGCTCCGATATTTTTCTGGGCAAGATATGACGTCTTCTGGCAAAACGGACGTGTTTGCGGCAAGGTTTGGTCATGTCAATGATTATTTTCTAATTTAATACCAATTTCCTTAGCATTGCTGATAAGGGTGTTTCGAAGCTTGCTCGTGCTCAAGCTCCTCAGAAATCAAAGCTAACTTGGTCTAAATTGCTTGTACATTATTGTTACTGTAGCTATTTAGGTTTTTATCCTTTGAAAAGTATCTTATCGGATTTTTAGAGTTCCTCCGGGCTAAAACTTGCAAGGTAAATACGGCGGCGCGTGACTTGATTTCATCTTTTTGGCTTGCTGATTTTTTCCTAGAGTAAACCTGGCGTTTTTGGGCCGGGCTGAGCATGGACTTATTATTTCCGATCTCTTTTTGTGGTTTCTTTGTTATGCCGGTTATATTGAAGATTTTTATAGCGTCGGAAACAGCATGCGTTTTGAGGCTTTGCCAGATGGGAGAAATTACGTTCAAACTTCTTCGATTTTTTACGAAGCGATATGTCATAGCCTTGCGAAATTTTCTTTGCCAGTGCCTCAAAAATACCTCAAAGATTGATAGGAGCTACAAGGTGTGCGCATAAAACAGGAAAAAAATAGCAAGAAATGGCATTGAAAGTTTGTCCGGATAATCCTGAGACACCCTGTATAACACCAGAGTGACGATGTGATTTTCAGTTCTTGGGTAAAAGCACGCTAAATCGAATCAATTACTCAATGTGAGCAGCTGGATTCGGTGGTGACGATGATAAGATCAGCTGAAGGGAATCAGGCTTTGATGGGTAGGTGGGGAGGGAGAAAGAGAAAGAGAGAGAGAGAGAGAGAGAGAGAGAGAGAGAGGGCTAATCTTTAGATATCTGGACAAACACTACCGCTGCCACAGTCAAGATTTATATTGGTGCACGCCGTGTAAGATATATAACTCCGATTTGTCAAATTCTTTATAGATAGGCAGTGGCAAACTCGACTTCGAGTGGCTAGACGGGACAAATATCACCTATAACAGCTACGCACTAGCTCAGATGACGAATTCTGGAGGGATTGAGAATTGTTTGGAGGTCGGTCGTTGCGAAAAAAAAACAGTTAATAGCTCCTAACAAATCATATTTTTACCTCCCTCCTCGCTTCAGCTATTTATCGGCCGCGGGCGATCTGATTCTGGTGTTTGGAACGATGTACGGTGCGATGGTACTGTGGAGATTGGTGTTTGCGAAAAGCCGAAGTGATGAATGAATTGACCACACCTTATGTAAACTTCAAGAGAATAAAATAAATCTAATACGAATGGTTTTATTAAAACTTCTCAAACTACCCTATTGATATATACAAAAAATAATTATCTCTTTGCACAGAAAAAAACCCAAAAAATCAACGAGAATCGGAGCCATAATGAAATATAATGTCCAAAGAGGAAAAATAAATTAATTAATCAAGATGGGTTTCAATTAAAGAAAAATTTTATTACACTTTTAAAAACGAATGGCTTGATGATCGCTTACCTTATTCAAAGGCTATAAATCCGTGTACCGATGAAAAAGCTATGGAAGGGCACAGTGGTAGATTAAGTACGCATTACACCTAGAAACCGCATCCCGATTTATAGTGATCCTGATTTTCATTCGGACAACCATGACGACAGGGTGGGAAAGAAATATGAACAAGGGCCAAATGGCCCATGCAATTGGAGGCCCTGAAAAAGCATGGACCACCTCATCTTTTCTCTTGTATTTTCATCCATGTTATCGATCAGCACAGCACAAAACTATTTTATGAGGTGGCCATGTCGAACAATAATTCAGCCGGCTGATACTTGCTTCCAACAGTGTGCGAGGCAAGGCGAAGATTGTAAGGGTATCGGTAAGTAATCTTACGTGTTTTTCACTTGCCCAGAGTACCCAAATAGGTAAATTAATGGATTTGGAGCGATTCCTCTGGTTTCGCCGGTTTTCGGTTTTTAAAAAATCTTAATAAGAATAGATCTAAAATATACGCAAAACTCCTATCCACATTTTTTGCGAATTGTATGATGAATTTTTGACTGATTTTACTCGGGCGAGTCCTTATAATAGAGGGTATGTTAATATTGTGGGACCGATATATAAGTAAGCACGGTATCATGACAGATTATCCAACGTAAGAACTTTTAGATAGCACCTGCCAAATCTATGGCCCTACCGATGGGGACCCAGATTATTTGTTTATGAATAGTACCACCGGAAACGCAGCAGCGAGCCAAGCTCAATTCAGCGCTGGGACCTGCGAATATAGCGATCCGGCGCAGGTATCGTTTTATTAATGCGTTTTTCTTCTATAGCTCCGCACCTATACCTATACTCGGCCTTATAAATTTCCTTTCGTTTTTAGAGCCCCTGCGACCTGGGGTGGAGCTCTACGAATACGGTAGATAAATGCTATAAGGTAACTGATTTGGCTGGAAACAAACTCTTTGTTTGATTATTAAGTGATTGAAATGTAACGAAATCTTTGGAATTTATTATTCCACACAGTTGTTAAGTTCCTTGGAGCAGGCACGATAAACCAAGCAGTAGCTGCATGCGCCAGTATGAACTCAACGGTGACAATAATTCGATCCGCCGAGGAGAATCAGGCTATAATGGGTGAGTTAAATCTGATACACACTGGTTCGTAACTAGGATTAATGCCTTTTTCATGACAAATCAAGCCTATGGTTTCAAAGCTTTGGTTTAAAACAAGCATGAACCTACACACATTTCAGATCTCTGGACAAACAGCACGGCGGCTCAGGGAAACTTTTACGGGAACCAGTACGAGTACACCTCCGGACGATCGCCGCGACCATTTATCCGGCCAAATCCGAGCGAGAACTTCGTGTCCGGCAAATTAATGCCTCGATTGATCAGGAAAACCGCTCAACATCGGGATTCCGACGTCACGGAATTCCACTTTTTGCGCGGGTAGTCAATTTCCGCGTCGCGATTGAATAAAACACAGTTGGGGCTACATGTTGACAATGTTCTGCTTCATAAATAACCCCTATCAAGACGTTAAATCACCCAAGAAGGCGATCTTAGAGGCTTGGCTGACCCTCGCGCAGCAGCGCATCGGTAACCTGATCATGAGCCTGGACAATCGACTTTTCCAAATAATCCCTTGTTCGGGTTGACCAATCGATTATTAATTCATTGATTCAATAAAATTTTAAGCTGTTTTTGGGTGCATTTGACCCGGTTTCTTTGGGTGGGCCAAAATTATGACCACTTGCCAGAATCGAATTTCGACTAAAAAATGGATTTTCGCAAAATGTAAAATTTTTTCCGGGATTTTCTTTAGACCCTTGTTTTTCAATAGCGTGGTGCATAACATACTTGAAGCGTTTCCCCGTTCATTAGTACGGGGCCGAGAAATTCACGAAAATTTGGGGTGGGCCAAAATTATGACCGGCAGTGTATAATAACTATGGAGCTGGGCAGATGACGAATACCGGGGGAATCGAGAATTGTTTAGAGGTAAGTTTTTACCTGCCAATGTTTTCCTATCCGCCTATAGCCATTAAACATGTAATACAACCTCGATTTTCTAGATATTTATCCTTCAAGGCCGCGCAAATTCGGGGATTTGGAATGACATACGCTGCGATGCGGCTGGAGAGCGTAGCATTTGCGAGAAGCCGAAGAGATGAAGCGTCCCTTGTTTCAATAAAGCGGAACAAACTATTGACTAAATAAAATATGTAACTGCGGGGACACCAGTTACCATGAACAACCAAAGCACACGTAAAGTTTGAGGTAACGTTAAGGTTTCGAAAAAT